GCTACTTTTGCATATGAATAACTTAAATGCAAGCTTAGTTTTCAAATTAACTTACAATAAAAAATCCTCTCATTTTTGTAAAAGAATAAGATACATTCAGAGAAAAACTCCAGCAGAGCAATGGTGTCCCATGTTTGCTTTACTAATAGGTATAGGAGTTCAATGATTTTGGTTACAATGTGGTTTTGCTTATCTAAGTCATAAGCGACCTATCAACTTCACAGACCAAGTTAAAAAAATAAAAGCTGTTTGTTTGAAGCAAGGCTAGTTTTTGCAAAGTTGATTTCTGAACTCATTTGTCAGAGTTCACTTTCATTGATGGCTATTCTTACTTTACAGTATCAGCATGTCCAGCTTGCTGGCTTCCAGCTCACAGATTGGAAGCAGCTCACTGAGACCGAGGAGAGAGGCCAGCACACTGACAATAGCTGCTCTGTGTTAACTGACAGCAAGAATGGAATCTAAAGGTATAAAGATCACATACAAGATATCCCAAAAGCCCGGGGGTCATTCAAGGGTAAGTGGACTTCATATACATTAATAAACCCTGAGGGCACAGCCCACAAAGTGCTGAGTCCTGTGTCAAGCTTAGAAAAGTGTCAGTGTCCTCTACTCAGGAAGTCAGAAGCGTGACTACCAGGAACCAGCAAATTACGATCCGCAGATCAAATCCACTCCAACTCTAGCCACTGCCTGCAATGAAAAGATTATTTTGTGACATGTAAAAATGTGAAATCCCAGATATACAATGTCGGTAAAATAAAGTTTTATTGGAACATAGCCATGTCTTTAAGTTCTGCCTGGCTGCTACAATGGCAGCCAGACACAACAGAGACTGGCTTGCAAGGTCTAAGATACCGCCTACCTGGCTTGATTTTGAAAAAGATTGCTACCCCCTAGATTATACTTTAGATATAACTTAATCTCCAATGATTACAAGATAAGAGTTTTGGGGCTCTTTTTTCTGGAAGGCCCAGCTCTTCAGCCTGATACATTCTCTGAGGTGTCCAGATGTCTGAGGCTTCCTTTAGCTCATCTAAGGTAGCGGTGCTTCTCTGCTCCAGATAGTGAAGAGAAAGAAATGGAAGGAGTCCCTGGTGTCATGAGGTACCAGTAATGTATTTCGTTATTTTTGGATTTCATAGAACCTTCAATGAGATGTCCATTTAGTTGACTTTTCAGCTTAGCCCTTTCATTATTATATTCTTTATTGTTCTTGAAAACCAGACACTGGCAGACTCTGGCTCATGCTTTTTACCACCTTCCTATTTCTCCCAGTGATATTCCCACTTCCAATGTTAAGATGTTGTATGCATATTGTTAATACAGGTAGTGATGTGAATTATACATAGAGTCTACTGTAGGCCTCAAGTACAACTTCTTAATTTCTAACTCGCTGTAAAATTTTCTTTAAGCAATTCTTACCTTCAAAATACCAAGAGTAGGTGAAAATTTCAGCAATTCCTCTATAACATCATGATATCCTTTGTTGGCCGCTTTCAGCAATGCTGTGGTACCATCCTTTACAGACAGAGGACAAGAAAAGTGAATATTTAACAGGTACAGGTTTCATGGACTCCGCCCCCATTCCAGATGCTGGAACTCCAAATCCCATCAGTACCAAGAAGAAGCATGCAGGGACTTGAGGGCGGAGCTGAGCAGCCAGGTTGGGATAAAACCGGACATGTGGGCTCTGGGGGGCGCTTGGCCTGGTGGTTCGCAGCTGATCGTTTTGGCTCTCAATTGGTTTTCAGCGGCTGGTGGAGTCCAAGTCAGCAGAACTGGTAGGACATCCTAGTTAACCTGTGTTTCTCTCCCTCTTTCCCTGGGTTATTCCTTTACCTTTCTCCTTCTAAATAAATCCATTATTTAACCTTTTGAGTGTGTCCATAATACGATTGAATCGTAAATGCACGAGTGAAGACCCACAGACAGGCAACCCAATTCACATTGGGGTGCCCTGTAACAGATTATCCCTGTGTGTGTGTGTGTGTGTGTATTGTCTGAGAATGAGATGTTAGTTGGAAACTGGGAAGATGCTGGTCAGACACAGATAAAATGTGTAAACTAAAACACAGACCCGTAGACATCTCTTACCTGGGAGGGCATTAAACAGTTAATTGTGCATGGAAGGTATCAGGCAAAATGTGTGATTTTTGAACACAGCCATTTGGGAATTCATATTCCTCTAGTTCTTTAGACCACTGGGTAAGGGACAAAAGTAACTTGAAGAACATATTTTTAGGTCATAGGTGGATCAAAGAGGCATTCAGCTGCAGTTCATGACTTAGCAGAAATTAATTGTTAAACTGTGTTCATTGTTTTAGATTTTTAAATGTTTTTTTTTTTTTTTTTTTTTGCCTTCTTGTGCCCTTGACTGCCCTAGGTAGCTAGTTGTGGGGTGAGGGAAGGGGGAAGACAGGGATAGACTGAACTCAGCTAAAAAAAGAACCTAAAGACAAACTTTAAAAATTAATATTTAGTTTCTGTCCTTTTTTTTTTTGACTTGAGAAAGTATTTTTCCAAATTCCCCTTTCACCTGCCTTAATGCACCAAGTACTGTATTTAGAAGCTTTAGTTCACAGAGTTCTCCCAGAATAAAGGAAATACCCAACTCTGCATTAACGATTTAGCTGGAATCAGGAGGAAAGAAAATGAGATTAGAAAATTGTTCTTTCTGGCTTCAGAGACTGGGAAGTAATAAAGGAGCTAGTGATTAGGAATCTGTCTTCTGATTTCTCCTTTCTGGGCTCATACTTGAAACCGGGAGGTGGGTAACTTAAGGAAGGGTAATACTAAGGGCAAAGAAGCCTTTAAAAAGCAAACACATTCTCAAGATGTGGTACATATATACAATGGAATATTACTCAGCAACCAAAAAAGAGAAACACATGTCTTTTGCAGCAACTTGGATGGAGCTGGAAAAGGTCATGCTGAGTGAGATAAGCCAGAAAGAGAAAGAAAAATACCGGATGGTTTCACTCATAGCAGGAGTATAATGGACCAGGCGAGAAAATAACAAAAATAATGAACAACCATAGACCAGAGACATTCTGTGGGGGTGGAGTGGGGAATGGGATCAAAAACGGGGGGTGGGGGGAGGAGGGAGGGAAATGCACGGTACTATGGTGGTGGCACAGGGGTGATTTGGTGATGGGAAACCCGCGGGGGTTACAATCGAGATGGAAAAAAAAATGTGCAAAATGATGTAAAAATAAACTTTTGTAAAATTAAAAAAAAAAAAGCAAACACATTCTTTTCAAGTTGAACTTAGTTCCAATGGGGCACCAGGCCAGCGCCTGGAGAAGAGTTAGGCGACACCAACTGAGGCTAAGTTGAGGGCAGGAGGGGCCGAGCGAGCCCTAGAATCCCGACACCCCCAACTACAGACCCGCCCCCCCCTCCTCCCAGGCGCAGCCAGCTGCACTGCGGTCCAGTGCCAGCAGGAGGCGCAGCGCCACATCCCTGAGAACAGCCCCAGCACCGGCATCCTGCCTCATGCGTCCTCCCGGGTTCGTCCACTACTCAGCTCAGGTGAGTAGATCTCTGAGGAATTAATCAATTATTTCCCCCCTTAATTAGAATGAGCAGCATTTGCTAAGTGTCAACTGACCCAGACGTTTATTTTGTTTTCCTACTAGATAGTAGGCAGAGGTGAGTTACTGACAAAATTAGCAGGCGCTTTCTGCTTTCTACGCTGAGCCTCAGTGCTTCGCAGGTCCCACCCTGACCCGATGTCCCAGGTTCCCCCCCAGACTTACATTCCGGGCGGCGTCGCGGTCGGCTCCCCGCAGTAGCATCACCCGCACCACCTCACTGTGGCCCATCTGAGACGCGATCCACAGCGGCGCCGTCCCGTCCTGCGCGAGAGGACAAGCTGTGCCTACCCTGTCCGCGCCCGCAAGTCCGACACCGGGAGGACATCCCGAAGGCAAGTCACACAGCCCAGTGAAGCTATTTACTCAGCCAGGCATCTGGTGAGGCCTGGACTGCTTGTGTAATTCGCCAGGGTTCAAGTTCTGGCTTATCAAGCAGCCATTTGATGGCGGGATGTGGTACCACAGTTTGGGCAGGACTTCGGGGAACACGCTTAGGGAAGCTGCTGCACAGTTGTCCACCGCGGAAGCGAATTTGACAAGCCCAGAGAATCCCAACTCTTGCCAGTTTGCTGGTTTTCCTGGGGGGCTCACGCAACACTCCCAGTTAGTGGGGGTCCTTTTTGCTCACAGAAGAGGGGGCAGTTTCCTGTGAGGTGCGATAGGGGGTCAGGGAACTAAGGATATTTCTCTTATTCCTTGAACTCCGCGTCTACAACTCCCACGGTCACTCATTTTGTGGGATTTTACAAAATGTGATATGGTGTCTTCTTGAGGGGGATGCACACTGTTTCCAGAGGCTGAGATGTGTTTCTTTGGAGAAGAAAAGATTAAACATCCAAAGGACCATAGTTCCAGAAAGAGAGGAAATATAGGAAATCTTTCCCGTGGTGAACGGAAAATGCTATAAAAGGAGGGACTGGAGAAGGGGAGGCAGATGTGAGAGTCCATGTTTCCCTCCCTCTGGGCTGAATCTGGCTTGGGTCAACTAGGGGTAATGGAAACACTCAGCTAAATTATGGGGTCTTCCAGATGGACAAGGATTTTCTCCCAATCTTAAATCTGCAGCTCCCTTAAGAGAAATTCTGCTCTTGGCTGGTGCCTGAGAGGTAGAAGAGAAACAGCTGTGGGCGTTGTGGGGCCGGTGGACCTGAGACATGCCCTAACAGTCCTCACCACAAGTATCTGCGCCTGGGCAGCCGGAAGTCCCGCCTGCCCGTGGGAAAACGGAAGTGCTGGGTAAACGGTGCCAGAAATCAGTCTGGGTAGAGATAAGGCCATAGAACTCATGACTTCAGAAACACAGAAGGTGACAGGGCCCAATCATGCTGGACCCGCTGCCTCTGCAGCTGCAGCCTCCAGTATAAGGTGCTAGGGACTGAAGCTGGGCCAGCCAGTAAAAGGGCCAGGTGTGAGTGTCCCCATGACTCCTCAATGCTACGATCATAGTCTGACCTCTGACAGTTGAGGTGACCTTGGAGAGGAGGGCAAGCGGAGGGAAGAGGATTCAAAACAGACCATACACAACCTCTGAGGTATATAAGGTAATATGATCCAAAGGGACTGCGCGCATCAGATAAGTCTGACTCACTCATCAGTGGGAAGGGGGCTGAGGAGCAAGATGGTTCAGTTTTAGAATATTAAGTTTCATTTTCTGCTGTAGTATGTGATTTCAATTCCAACTACTAGCCACAGCAGACAGAGGATTGTTGCCCACTGCTGTCCCCGCAGAGGGACAGAGGATGGAGATGCTTGGGCGGGGTGGCAGATGACGGCAAGTCTGTGGCCTGGGATGGTCTGGAGCAGTGAAGGGTGATAGGAGAACACTAGCATCTTTGTGTCTTGGAGATTAGAGGAAGAGGTGCTGTTCCACTTCATACCTTTACAAGGGGTCTCTCAGAAGTGTTCTTGAATCTTAAACCATCACTGGCAATGATAAATAATTACAGTCTAAATGATATCTTAGTTTGTACTTTTCACTTGCAGAACAGTCGTTCTTAAATGTAATTATTTCATGAATTTAGACTTTGCTCTTTTTTTCTTGGTACATAGTAGATATTCAGAAAATGTTTTCCAATTGAGTGAATATACTATATACTTGAAAAATAATCATCTTTGTTAGATAGTAAACCACATATATCAACAAGTAAGTTTTGCCCAGGCTCTGGAAGATTATCTCTATTAAGGGTGTGAGAATCTAAATGAATGTCGTATATACCCTTTGTCCCCTTGGAGGTACGGTGTCCAAATTTGGGATAGTACTATAGCAACCTTTCCCAACCCTTCTCACATGGCCTGTTGGGAAGAACAAACAATCAGTGATAATTCTGTTCTTATGAGGCACAAATTCTACACAGCTAATTCTATTTTTGAACATTACATTACTTAATTTGATTCTCCCAATTCAGGCTCTAACCAATTATTCAACCATTCTAACACCTATCGAGCATCTTCTAAGCTTACTCAGAGTCTTAAAAATAAGACAAGTTCTCTGAGCTCAAAGGAATTCAGATTCATGGAGAAGAGACAGAGATGTCAGTGACGGTAGGGCTATAGTAAAGGAGCAGACAAAAACAAACAAGATAAACCGGATGGGGGGTGCTTACTAGTGAGGGTTACTGGGTGGGCTTCAGGGCTTGAGTGGTGTCTGAATTGGGTCTTGAAAGACGGCAAAGATTTGCCACGTGGGAAAGTGTAGAAAGAACATTCCAGGTGGACAGAAACACATTTACAGCCACAGTGGCTTAAAGAAGTATAGCTGGTTCAGGCAGGGTGGAAAATCCTAAGGGCACCCATTGGTGAGGGGGTCGGGGAGGGAAGGGAAGGTGCAGTCCTTCTTCAGCCTTGTCCTCCCCAGCTTCGATTGTTCTTTGTCACTGTCTCCACCAGAGGGCAGGCAAGGAAAGGCAGAGGGAGCATGAGGGCAGCTTTCAAGGGCTCTGCAGTTATTGGGGGTTGCCTTAATCCACACTAATATGTGGGAAAATGTGAGGGATCCTATACTGGGAATGGCAATAATATAAGTTATTCATGACACAACACTAGCAAATTTTACCACCTTAACTTCAATAGTCATAGTAGGTGGAAAAAGAGGTTGCTACTTGCAGGTTGTGAGAACTTAGGACAATCACTCAGTGGCCTCTTCTGCAAAAATATTAGTCTCACAGATATACTGGTGAATGAGAAAACATGTAGAGGCACTGAGCACAGGGACTAGCTAAGAGATGCTTAGAAATTAATCATTGAATCGTGGCCCTCCTGGTGGCTCAACAGGTTAAAGTAAAGCATTATGAAGCTATTGCAGCATGAATTTGATCCCTGGCCAGGGAGGTGACCCACATGGCATGGAAGACCTCTCCTGACCTGCCTGTTGCTCCTCTCAGCAGGGTATTTCAGGGCATCTGCCTGTTCTGCTCCCCACTCTGTCTCTGGTGAATCCTCTTACCCCCTGCACCTCTGGCCTATACCCCAGTTCTGTATGCATAAATAAAATAAAACTTAAAAAAAAAGAAATTAATCACTGAATCTGAATATTACTTGTGAAAAACTGCAAGCACCTTTAAAAACATGGCTTTTGTGTCAGGCTTCAAAGAAAAGCTGATTAGCACATATTAAAAAAAAAAAACACAAAGCCTGGTGAGAATGTGGTGAAAAAGGTACCTTCTTACACTGCCGGTGGGAATGCAAACTGGTAAAGCCACTTTGGAAAGCTGGGTACAAATTCCTCAAAATACTAAAAATGATCTACCGTCTGACCCAGCAATCCTACTCCTAAAAATCTACCCAAGGGACACAAAAACACTAATTTGAAAGTAAACCCACACCTCTACATTTATTGAAGCACTATTTACAGTAGCTAAGATACAGAAACAAACTAAATACCCCCAAATGAATGAATGGATCATGAAGATGAGGTGTATATACAAAATGGAATACCACTCAGCCATCAAAAAAGATAATCCATGTCCTTTGCAGCAACATGGATGGAGCTGGGAGTATGTTAAGGGAAATAAGTCAGAAGGTTGGTTTCACTTTTATGTGGAATATCGAGAAACTGAACAAAGGGTCAAGGAAAAAGACCAAACTTGCAAGCTGATCATAGATCTGAAGGAGGAGAGGGGGTGTGAAAAGGGCAGAGATGGTTGCTATGGTGGAGAGACAACTACGGCATTATACCCGAGGAGGTAAATCAAATACGGGCCCAAATTTAACAGTGATATAAGAAAATAAATATAAAAAATTTCAAAAAAGATTAGTACATTTGTTTGCAAAGCACAACTATCTGTGAAGATAACTGAGCTGGTAGGAAGGACTGGCACCAAGAGATTGGGGGACACCTGCGTATTTCATTCTTTCTCCAAATCTGATCATGAAATAGCAGGTGAATGTGAGTTCGAGCATTATTGTGAAATTAAATTATTTCTCAGTTTAGAATCTAGTTTGAACAGAAGTGGTTTTCCTCTTCTTCCATACACTTCGATTTCTATTTTCCCATATTTTTTTCTTTCTGTTAAAATGGTCAGAATCTTCCTCATGGAGATGACTTTAAAAAGAAAATGATGAAGGCCCTCCCTGGTGGCGCAGCGGGTTAAAGCACTGCACTGAGAAGCTAAAGCCACTTCCGCATGAGTTCAAATCCCGCCTGCCCCGGAGGAGACCACATGGCG